GTCAGTTCCTATTTCACATTTGGACAGTATCATATGTATACAATTTATAAATAAATATACATGTTAGGGGTGTGCGCTCAATTTTTTTTTAAACTGATAGGGGTGTGTGATCAAAAAAGTTTATAAAACACTGATTCTAGATTACTATATTTAGTTCTGCAGATCATATTTTAAGAAAAACGTAAGACAAGCTAGGGCATACCCGGATTAGGGTAAAAAAGGAAGGAGAGAGGAAAGTAAGCAGTCATGAAAAGGAAATTAAGGAGATAACCACTGGTAGAAGAAGTTAAAATTTTCATCTCCATTTATAGATGACATAAACATGTTTAGAAAATCTAAAATAACCAAAACATTGAGTTAATAATTTCAGATAGTTAGCATACTCTAAAATCATGAATACCAATTTAAAAAAAAAGGAAAAACTGATACATACAAACCAAATTCTAAGTATAAATTCAAAAATATTGCTTCAGAGGCACATTATTTAGCCTGTCTTCATCATGTGAACAAATGTGACCATTGGTGGTGAAGAGGACTGAATGTTAGGCCTAGAGTCAGGAAGACTCTTCTTCCTGAGTTCAAATCCAGCCTCAGACACTTATTAGTTGTGTGACCTTGGGCAAGTCACTTAACCCTGTCTGCCTCAGTTTGCTCATCTCTTAAATGAGCTGGAGAAGGATAAGACAAACCACTCTAGTATCTTTGCCAAGAAAATCCCAAATGGGGTCACGGAGTGTTGGAGACAACTGAAAATGACTGAACAACAACATGGCATAGGGGAAAAATATTGAATCTGGATGAGAAGACTGGAAGGGTAGCCAAAACCAGATTAAAAATGTGATTAGGAAATATTTAACATAAAAAATAAAAACATAATAGAACAGATAATGTTAATATATGGTTTTCTAAGTCAATATGCAGCTGGCAAGGATGGTCATGCATAGTTTAGTGGCCCTGTTTTCTACTTGACACCAGTGGCCTAGAAGACCCTCAGGGTCACTTCCAGTTCTAAATTTATGCTCCTATATGTAGAGCACTCTGCTACGCACTGAAAATAGGAGGTCTAAGATATAGTCCATGCCACTGAGGAACTTGAAATGCAACTGAAAAGACAAGACATATACAAAAAGACAAATACATAAAGCATATGTTCTAGACTAAGGAACTGCATTAATTTACAAGTAAGTACCTGGAACATAACGGGCACTCAATAAATACTTGCTGACTCATGTGAGGAAGGCTAGTACTGACACTCTTCCTATGTGTGAAGACAAAGAAAAAGAAGAGTGATATGGTCAAGTCAAATTGGGAATTTACAGCCTATATATACCAGAGGCTGGCACTAAATTGCCCAGTGTCTCTTCAAACACAAATTATGTTATCACAACAAAAACATGCGGTTTCCCTTCTAAAATTTCAGAAGCTGCCAAGTCAGTTCTAAAAGCAGTCAGTCTTTTAGAGAGATGAGATGTATTTGGATCACGGTTTCAGTTATGTACCCAGCTGTCAAACAGCTCTTCCAAAAAGAAAAAGGAAAAAAAAAAGGAGTGGCAACATGGTTGTTATATGCCTTAAAGAGCCAGCTTTTTAGTACACTAAATGACTTTACACAGGAAATCTGCCATTATTGATAGTGGATTAAGAACTTTCATAAGAAGCCAGTGCAGAATAAACTGAATCCCAATTTCAGCTTGCCCAACAAGTGTCATCAAGTAGGCTATATCTACTTCCTCCAAGGTGAACACATAGTCCTTATTTTCACTGTAAAAGTAATAGGTTTCACTCACCTGTTATGAGATCTGTTCATTTTTAATAAATTTTAAAAAATCACAAGCATTTTCCAGTATCCACTTTCACAATAGGATCTCTTCTTATAACAACATAGTAGAGTTAAACAAAATAACACACAGCTACAATCTACCACTTGTCTATATAGAGAAGGGAGGGACGCCTCATGGAGTCAAGAAATCCAAGCTCTGACAACTTTTAATATTACTTTTCTTTTCATTACTGTGATTCTTGTACATATTGTTCTGCTTACATAATTAATTCACTGGACTCGGGAGTTGGGGAGACCTGAGCTTCAAATCTAGTCTCAAACACTTACTAGTTGTGTAATCTCCGTCTGCCTCAGTTTTCTGAACACCTACTAACATTAAAATGAGCATAATAATAGCACCTACCTCCAACGGCCATTGTGAAGATAAAATGAGACAATGTTTGTAAAGGGCCTGGCAAATCTTAAAGCACTGCATGTTGTTGCTATTTATACAAGTCTTCCCAAGTTTCCCTGAATTTTTCATATGCAATAATAGCCTATTATAACAAGTATTAACTGAGACCTATATATCAAACAAATGCTAGGTGCTAGGGATACAAAGACAAAAATAAAATTCCTGCCCTCCATAAGCTTATATTCTTGGGGTGGAGAACAACATGCATTTTGTCTGGGTACTGAATTTTGTGGGAAAGGGCACTAACATCTGGGGACATGGGAAAGGCTTGTAAAGGTGGTATTTAAGTTGAATTTTTAAGAGATAAGGAGATTGTAGGAGGCAGGGGTGAGATTAGTGTACATTTTAGGTTATAACATGAGTTAATAGCCAGTGAAAGGCACAGAGATGGAAGATGAGGCATCCTTTAGGGCAACAGCAAGAAGGCTTGTCTAGCTGGATAAAAACAAGTAGGAAGGGAAATAATGGGTTACAAATTACAAATACAGGGTTACAAAGTAATGTTGACCCCAGGCTGTGAAAGGCTTTAAAAGGCAAATAGAGGAATATATATTTGATCTTGAAGACAATCACTGGAGTTTACTGCTTAGAGGAGTAATATGTTTCAACCTGCACTTTAGGAAAATCACTTTAGCAGATGTATAGATGATAGACTAACTGAAGCAGGGAGATCACTGAAGTATGGAAACCCATCGGGAAGTTGCTGTAATAGTCCACACAGGTGATAATTAACTTATCTAGGAGTAGTGACAATGTGACTAGCAAAGGGAATAGATACAGAAAATGTTGAGGAGATAAAAGCACAATGACAAATGACAGGATATGTAGGGGTAGGGAGAATGAGAAATCCAAGTAATACCAAGGTAGCAAACCTGGGTGAAGGAGGGTGATGCCCTTGACAGAAATAGAGAAGCTGAAAAAGATGGGTGGGTTTGGGCGTGGGGAGAAGATAAACTGTTTTGGGCATAAGTTTGAAATACTTACTGGACATGCAGTTTCAAATGTCCAAAAAGAAGCTGGAGATGCACAACTAGTGATCAGGAGAGGAGAGAGACTATCAACCAATCAACAGGCGTTTATTAAGGGCCAACAGTGGGCCAGGCCCTGTGCTAGGCCCTGGGGATACAAATCCTCAAAAAGAAAACAATCCATATCCTCAAGCAGGAGATGAAGAGAAACTAGAGCTAGATTTACAGGTCCTTGAGCACTGGGAATATTTTCACTTTTTTCTTTGCATCCTCAGCCCTTACAAATGTCTGTTTATTGATTGATTGCAAAGCATACAGCTAAGAGCTGTCTGGTAAAAAGGCTCAAACTCCCAGCCTTCCTTTTCTCTTTCCTCTCCATCTCTCTTCTCAGCTCCTCTCACCCTTTTCAGTCACTCAGTAAGCCAGCCATTGTACTAAGAACTGGGGATACAAAGAAAGGAAGAAAACAAAAGTCTGTTCTCAAGGTGTTCACCTTCTAACACCTGAGGTGAAGAGGGCCTAAACCAGGGTGGCGGCTGTGTCAGAGGAAAAAAGAGGACTAAAATAGGCATGCCATCTCCTTTGCCCACCTCCAATCCTGGCTCTGGCCAATTTCACATCCTTCCCAATGATAATGGCCAAGGCCACATCACAAACTCACTAAACGCTTCTAAGATAGCAGAGTTAGTGAAAGAGACAAAATTTGGCTGTCTCCTTCCCTCATACATGAATCACGTTTGGATCAATTCACAGCTCCACTAGTAGTAGTGCATCAATGTGCTTGTTTATCCCTGGGCCCTCCAACATTAGTAATTTGCCTTTTTTTCCCTGTCTACCTGCATAATATTTGAGAGTTTTTGTTTTTGTTTTTTTTCCCCCCGAGGGGGACAGACGGGAGGGAGAGAAAATAAATGCTTGTAAACTGGAAACAGGAGAATTTAATTTAAAATTTAAAATAAACATAATAATAATATATTATAAATATTTATATGTGTTTATAATAATAATATATTATGTATATTATATAACAATATAAATAATAAAAATAAAATATAACAAATAAAAATAAAAAGAATGTCTACCTCCACCCGGCAAGTCTCTCTCGCTCTAAAGGACTTAAAGCCGCATCGCACCCAGACACCCCGCAAGCAACACTTTTCAGTACCCAGACAGCACTAGAACTAGAAGGTACCATTCCCGCCTCCCCTTGGCCTCTAAGAACACCGCGGTCGGGGGCAAATTGGGGCGGGGCTACTCAGGGAAGGGGCGGGGCGACGGCCAGACGCGCTCCTCGCGCGCTTCGCCCCCCCCCCGCTTCACGCGCTGCGGCGGGCAGGGAGAAGGAGGAGCCAGAGGCCGAGTCCGGCTTTCCTCACGCCCTTTTCCTATCTCTACATCCCCATGATTTTCCCTTCCTTTCCTCCCCTCCTCCAGGGCGTTACCTGGGGCCCAGCTACCTTTCTGTATTCAGTTGCTGCTGCTTTCCAGGCGACTCGGCTTCGGGCCAGTCCACTCCTACCGCGGATAAAAAGGAAGCTAGTTACTGTTGCAGCGAAAGGCGCCCAGGGAGCCGCCATGTCTACCGTGGGAAGGGGAGGAGAAAGGGGCGGGGCCGGCCTACTGCGCAGGTGCTGAATGGAAGCGCTGTTCTTTTGCGTTCGCTGACGCCGCGAAAGAACCAATCACACAGACTCATTAATAAACCCTCCGCGGAGCCTTGGTCTCTTCTGCTGGTTGGTGATTGGCTGGATGGCGGGGAAGGGCGGGGCGAGTGATCTGTACGGGGTTCCTAGTGTGGATGGGAACTAGGTTGAATACGCCTCACCTCTGGAAAGCAGCCAATCCCTTTCAGCCTGATGCATTCCCGGGTTTTCTGGCCATCCAGGTATTTCCAAAGAGACTAGTGGTACTTGGCCGTAAAGGGGACCGAGCTCTTGGCCTCTTGTCTTTGACATTTTCCTCTTCTTAATCAGTCAGCAAGGCAATCCTCCAGGGTCATGTTTATGTATACAGATTTAAATTTTACAAGGCATTTCTTCAGGAGAACCCACCTAAGATAGGTAGTGCAAGTATTATTATGACCATTTTTACTGAATACAGAAGATTTAAAGCTGGAAAGACCCTAAACTATCGCCAAAGTCCATCTTCTTGACTATAGCTCCACCAGGATGCAGCCTTACAAATGTTACAACATCTTCCACTACCACCACTAAATGACCATTTAGTAAACATTTACTAAGCCGCTTCATACCAGGCCTTTCAAAAAAAGTCAAAAGACAGATCTAATGGAGGAGACACCTAATGGAAGAGGACATTTAATAGTCGTCCAGCCCTCTCTCTTCCAAGGCCCATTCTTTTGTCTTCAGCTATACCAGGATGTAACACTGTCTACTATCACCACTGGTTATGTTCCTCTGGTTCTAGGATATCAGGGCAGTTTTCCTTATAGTTTCTGACCCGAGCCCTCCCTCCTTCACTAAAATCAAAGTCAGTTGCAAGTCATGTCATCATCTCCCTGATGTCATGGTCCTCTTCGAGAAGGAAGGACAAACACAACCTGTTTGATGATGTCCAGGTTCTTTTTTTGATCATGGCTTTAAGATAATCCAATAATTCTTAAATTATCTCTCCTGGAACCGTTTTCCAGGTCAATTGTTTTTTCTAGTGAAATAGTTCACATTTTCTTCAATTTTTTCTTCCTTTTGGTTTTGTTACATTGTTTCTTGGTGTCTCATGGAATCATTAGCTTGCACTTGTCCAATTATAATTTTTAAGCAATTATTTTCTTGAGTGAGCTTTTGTACCTCCCCTTCCTTTTGACCAACTCTGCTTTTTAAGGAGTTCTTAAGTGAAATTTTGTATATCTACTTCAATTTGGCCAACTCCACCTTTTAATGAGTTCTCTTCAGTGAATTCCTGCACCTCTTTTTTCCATTTGGCCAATTCTGCTTTTCAAGGATTTCTTCTCTTCAGTGAATCTTTGTGCTCCCTCCACCACTTGGCCCATTCTGTTTTTTAATGTGTTATTTTCTTCAGCATTTTCCTCTGCCTCCTTTACCAAGCTGCTGATTCCTCTTTCGTGATTTTCTTGCATCACTTCCATTTCTTTTCCTGATCTTTCCTCTACCTCTCTTATTTGATTTTTAAAATCCTTTTTGAGCTCTTCCAGGAATTTTTTTGGGGGGAGGTAGGAGGAGGGCTATGACCAATTTATATTTTTCTTTTGTGCTTTGCATGTAGCTGTTTTGACGTTGTCTTCCTCTGAGTTTGTGTCTTGATCTTCCCTGACACCATAGTAACTTTCTATGGTCAAGTATTTTTTATTTTATTTTATTTATTTTTTGCTTTTTCTCACTTTTGGAGCCTATTTCTTGACATATAAAGGTGGGCTGTGCTCCTGGGATTGAGGGGGCACTGTCCCAAGCTTCAGACCTTTCTTGCTGCTGTGTTTAGAGCTAGCTCTGGGAGTCTGTAGGTTTTGTTTCTTCCATGATGGTATGATTTAAGGAGATGTGTGGTCACTGCTCTCCTGGCCTGTGCCCTGGTTTGTGAGTGACCACAATATTCTTCTCTGTCCTAGAACTGTGAATGAGGCCCCTGCACCCCTGTGGCTGACTGCAAGTGCTAGTGAGCTAGTGTTCTCTGGGACTGTGACTCAGAACTGTGTATTGGCAATGTAACAGTCCTATACCCAGTGCCAGCAAAGGTCTGACCAGTTGTCTGACTCCCTTCTGTGGGTTGAGAGTTCCAGAAGCTGCCATCACCACTGATGAAATGCCTCCAAGGCCTGCTGTTGGCTTCCAGGTCCAACTGATGAGGATGGGAGCTAGACCCCAAAAAGGAAAAACTCTGGACTTTCCTGCATGGCCCAATCTCTGGCTTTTGCCTGAGGCTATATCAACTGGCCTTTCTTTGTGGCTATACCCAATCTCCCAATTCTCTGTTATCCTTAACCTAGCCTAGACCTCCCTATATCCCCTGGCCACTTCCCACCCTTAATCCTATCTAGGCTCCATTCTCCCTTGGCCACTCCTAGATCCCTCCCATAGTCTTTCTGTGTATAAAGTCCATCTTGTCTCCATTAAAATGCTCTAATTCTTATAATCTAGCCACTGCTCAGATTTTTATAATCTAGCCAATAGCTCACAGATTCCTTAAGAGTCTGGCCAATATGGCAGATCTTTACTAAACATTGTCCTTGGCTGAAAGAAGGCTTGGTTCAAATTCTTTGAGACAGGATCCATGTGTTGTGATTTTGGGGTTCCAGCACCTCTGGACCTCATCACAACTACCACACCTGTGAAACAGACCTTTCCTGCCAACCTCCTAAATTGTCCTTGGCTGGAAAAGTGTTTTGCCCTGTTTCATCCTGACCTTTTGTTGGTTCTGCAACTCCAGAATGCAACTTGAGGTATTATTTTTAAAGTTGTTTGGAGGGGAATTTGAGAGAGCTTATTCAAGCCCCTCCCTTTACTCACCCCCCCCATCATTGTCTTGATTAGATAGAGAAGTCTTTCACATTGATCATTGTTACAATATTGTTTTTACTATGTTGAATGTATAGATGAGGTCTTGTCAGAGAAATAAGGCTTCGGCCAAATTCTTTCAGACAGGACCTGCATATTGTGATTTTGGGGTCCCAGCACCGCTAAACCTCTAAACCTCAGCACAATAAGCTGGAGGAGTTTGTATATGGACTTAAATGCTCGTAGAGAGGGGTTGACCTTGGCAAGGAGAAGGGCCACCTCTTTGTCAGAAACCTAGGGAAAAGAAGAGTGGGAGATAACGTCAAAGGGTTTTGAGGTTAAGAGAATTGGAGAAGAAGGAACTCACATGGAATGTTCTCAATTTTCTTAGTAGAGTGAAGTTCTAAGCTGAAAGAGTTGGGGGAGGGAGAGGGAAGAGGGAGATATGAGAAGCCTAGTATTATTGCAGGAGTTGGGGAATAGAGGGAATTGGTGATGCAGGTGCTAAACTCATTGAGAAGGAGGGAAAATAACCTGGGAGGTCAGTATACTTACAGCCTTCACAATTTGGATTGGGTAGAAATTTTGATTGAGTATACTTCAAGAAAGAAAGGTTGCTACTAAAAGGAAGTAAAGAGAGAGTATTGAAGTGACAGTGAGGGGTAAAGCATATTCTGACACCCTCTTCAGGGAAGATATGGGAGAGATAGAGAGAGACAGAGTCAGAGAGAATGAGAGGATGTATGTATAGCCAGGGCACAGTTTGGTAAATATTGGTCTGAAATATAAAGGCTATTTAGTATTCTCCCCCACCCCTCCACCTCTCCATCTTTCCAACTTGTATTTCCTGCCATAAATGGACACATTTATTCTCGTATTCAAGCTAGTTGACCTTTAAGGTCCCTGGAAGTTCTTACATTATATGAAACTGTGCTTGTATACATTCTTCTACTTGGAATGCCTTTCCCCATTTCTGCTTATTCAAACTCTATTCATCCTTCAGAACTGTTAAAAGTGCCGCTTCCCAGGACAGCCTTTTACAACCACTCCATTGCAGCTCCATTGATCTTTTCCTTTTTGAAAGACTCATGGTGATGGGGTATGGGACATGAAAGACCCTCAGTCCTTGAACTTTCCCACAGATTTCAGGAAACCAGGTTCTCCTGAGGTATCTGGCCCATTTCAGTCAATACTCCTTTCAACTGTCCTTTCGTTGTGCCCCCACCCCCACCCCTACCCAACCCTCTATTTTCTGTTACTTCTAGATCACCCCAGGCTACTTACCACTCCTAAATCCCATGCAAATCTTCCCACAATCTTTTCCTTATAAAAGTGTCAATTTTACCCCCATTAAATTCACTAGGAATCTGGCCCATTTGTATTGGTGTCACAAATAAACTCGCTACTTTGACTGGAAGGCTTGAGTGATTGAAATCTTTCAAGGCAGACTCATGCCCTGTACCATTGCATTTGGGGGTTCCCAGAACCCGTAGACCATAACAATAACACTTAAATGTTTATATCATTTGTTTCAAGATTGTGACTTAATTGATACATAATTATACATGTCTTATCTCCTGAGAATTGTAAGATAAAGGATCTTATAATTTTTGGTATTCTTGTGAGCAATATATTATGCACATAAAATAAATACTTGTCTAATGAAGTTTTGTATAAGGCTGAAGTAGATACCCTAGAACAGTATCATGAATGAATGGGATGTTCCAGTGAAGATTCCTCAGTGTAATTAAGGTTTGGGATAAGGCTGAGTGGGATGAGGGGTCCCGTGAAACTTTTTAGAAAAATAAATAGAAATTGTATTAGACGTAAGGCAGGCATAGCAGTCTGACAGGCCTAAGTTTCGGTTTACTAGAAAATCACCTGATGTACAGGAATTCAATCCCAAGCACACCCCTCCCCACCCCGCCCTGCCCCTTATGCCATTGTTAAGTAGTTAAAATTTGCCAAGCCTGAAACTCCTGAAGAAGCCCCCCCCCCCCCCCCCCCCCCCCCCGCTGTATTTTGTTGATGCACCTGTTGCTATATTTCGGTCATGGTGACCTGGCTATACAGTACAGTGTCTAGCTTGACTGCACATCTTTAATTGCTTCTTTGGTATTACTTCAGCAAACTAAGAAATATAGATACGTATATTGTGTTCATTGTTTTGTTTTCAGTTTCTATGGTACATTGAGACTGTGAGCCAAATAGTGGACAGTTGGTGGAAGGGGGGAATTTGCCCATTAGGGTATTTAATCAGGTCCTTTGCTTCTGTCTGTGTCTCCTTTCATCAGAGTATTCTGGTGGAGGAACACCCAAATCTCGAGGTTTGAAATAATAATAATAAATTAACTTTCTATTTCTCCTTGGATACCTCTGTGTGTTCTTTAATTTGGGTGGCATCCCACACAATGAGGTT